CACACCTAAGACAAAGGACAATGACAGGAACTCCTTGAAGGCAAAGATTATGTTTTCATCATGGTTTTCCCAACACTGGGCCTGGATATGACAGGTCCCCAAAAGACATGGAAAGAGGGACATTTGTCTTGAGTGACAGGAGGAAAAAAAAAACAATTATAGTACTTAAGAGCACTGGTGCCAGGAACATTAAGCTAGGTCCCTCTGTCAGGCTGCTTTGTACTTAATAGGCATGGTCAGCTATGACAGGTGACATACTGGGCTCTACCTCTACCCCCAGACCCAGGAAAGCCCCCTTTTGGCTAACCAAGAATTGCTTTCTCAGGACCTACAGAAAGTAGAAAGTTGAGGCTGGAAAAACCTGCGGCTTAGACTGAAAGGCCAGTTAGGCACAGGCATGCTGAACCATAGACTAAAGACAGCTCCTACAGGCCAAGGAACTTTAACAGGGCACCTGGCACTTTCATCTAGTTTGGAGGACACTTTCCTATTCTGTGCATTGGTAGCTGAGCAGCCCTATGCCCTGAGAGCAAGAACACAACGCACTGAATGTAGGAGTCAAGAGGCTGGATTCAAGCTCCCTCTACGTTACTGACTTTGTGTCCAAGGGCAAAACACCCGTCAACACTGAGCCAGTTTCCTTTGTGTCAAATGGGGCCAAAGGCTGTGGGTCTCCCAGAAAACTGCACTGCAGACAGGATGTGGCCAGTGTGAAACCAAAGGTGGCAGTCACAAAACCTTGTCCCCAGTGTAAGGCACATATAGCTGTTGAAACATAATTAAAATTAGATACATTTGAAAACTCAGTTCCTCAAACACACTAGACACATTGCAAGTGCCTGACAGCCACAGGTGGCTAATGGCTACCCTGCTGGGCAGCCCAGATCTAAAGAACTGTTAGGACTACTAAATGGTTGTTGGCTTTTCCCAAGAACTGGACCCATAAAGTGGCTGCTGGCACCAGGGACAGAACACAGTGGCAGCTGGGAGGTTCCTGAGTGTGCTTGCTCAGGGAGTGCTGCCTGCCTCTGCCCGCTGCCCCTTGCTTACTGAAGAACACACACACCCATAGGCCAGGGCAGAGAAACCCAGCTCAGGTGTAGCCTTAGCTGCCTCCCCACCTCCCTGGGCCCTAATCAATCCTCCCCTCTTCAGAAAGGTGGGCCTTCCCTGGAATGTGGCCTAAAGGATGGAACCGCTGAGGTATAAACCAATGCAGTTGGAATCCAGACTGCTTGAGAGAACCAAGGAAAACAAATTCCTACAAACGTGAAGGCACATCAATGCCGAGGAGGATGAACCCCAGCAGGTCCTAAGTTGTAACACCCAACTCCTGCTCAGTGTATGTGACACTATCTTTGTTCCCCAGCTGAGCACCATATCCCAGATCCTGTATCTATTCATCTCACTCTCAACCAGGAGGAATGAAAAATTCCCAACACAGACAAGAGCAAAAACGAGAGTCATTCAAAAGAGAGTAAATACCCCAATCTCTAAGAGTCTAAAAGGGAAGGATGAGATCAGAAAGGGGGTCTGTCATCCCAGGAATGTGAACCAACCTGCCCAGATGGCTTATGACCCACCTGTTCTGCTGAATGAACCTGCATTGGCTACGTGGGATCACGGACATCTGAGTTTACAGATAAAAGCAAAGCTCCCAAAGCGTGGTATGGAAAGATGTGGAAGTCAACACACGGAACTGGCTGACTGAAAGTGCTAGGGCAGACAGCTGCACAAGCCAGGGGAGGGGAAGGCCACAACAAATAACTTCACCCTAAGCCTGGACATTTAGTCCAGTACACCTGGCCCTTGGAATGTCCCAAGCTGCCTTGCATCATGCTCAGATGCAGATCAAGTACGTCTTCATATGGTTATAAAAACAGGAACTCAGAGCACACAGCTATACTCACATTCCAACAATCATGCAGAAGAGCTCAGGGAGGCTCAGGGGCCCTGAGAGAGTGAAGCCCAGCAGCCCAAGTAGGACAGGTGGGGATGGCTGGCTGGGAGCTGGTCCGGACTGGCACACGCTGGCAGAACACACAGATACCTGCACTGTGCTTTCCTAGATGGGCAAGCGTGTCTCAAAGACGCCGACAGGACAAGTGGCAATCTGTTTGATGTGCTCGCTGCCAGCGTGCTGAATTTTGGACAAGAATTCAGGTTACAGCTCAGAGTCTGATGTTCTTCATTACAAACACTGTTGATTCCCTAGATTTAATGGAGTGGAGAGAAAAATCAACATGCAAGCACTCTCATTTTGCTATTTCCACCCCTCCTATTTTAGTCTAAACCAGCACTGTTCATATCATAGAACTGTCTGCAATAATGGAAATGATCTTATCTGTGCTGCCCAGTATGGTAGCCACAAGCCAGCAAGTGGCTGTTGAGCACTTGAAATGTGGCTAGTGAGACCGAGGAGCTGAATTTTTCATTTTATTTAATTTTAATTCATTTAAACACAATTACCACATGTGGCTAGTGGCTACTGAGCTGTGTTAATTCAATGCTATTGCTAGAGCTGTGGTTCTAGACGCAACAAGGTAAAGCAAGAACACATCCGCTGCACCCTCTAAGCTGGATTATCTAACACAGCTGCCAACAGTAATGCTGTGGACGTCTGGCACCAGGTGGGGCCTTTCAGCGCAAAGCATGCTTCAGAGTTGGCAGCCACCCGCAAGTATGTCCAAGATGTTGCTCTATTCCAGCCCCTGCCCCAAACCAGATGAAGTCTCCTTCAGCTTCAGCATAAAGCAGATGCCAACCAGGTGTGTGCAGCAACTTGGGAGAGCGCTCTTACAAGGTGGAGTGGATATTCGAGTCAGCACAAACGTGACATGAAACAATGTCATTTAAGAGAGCCACAAACAGCCTACCTCAGCCATAAGAGCCAATAATACACTCAGACCTCATAACCTATGGTGCTGGGCCATCAGTTAATCCAGCCTGCTCCACCTGGACAGTCATCACCAACTGAGCAGGAATGGAGGTATGCCCAGAAGTTAGTTAGCTCACCCAGCAGCAGGTTATGCTTCCATCCCCTGCTCAGCATGGAAAGGGCTCAGGGAAGCTGAGCTCGAGCAATGACTCCTCCAACAGAATCCAGGTAGGGTCTTACAGCAAAGGCAAACACAAGGGTAGCCTCTGGCCACACGACATTATCTGGAAGGAGGGTAGATGGTGATACCCGAACTTGTCTCAAACCAGATGCCCCATTTCTGGCTGACATACATATCCACATGTGTGAGTAGAACCTTCTGTTTTAGGCCAAAGGTGCAACCTGAACGAACACCTACAGAGACCATGCAGGTAACCGCAGTGAGTCAAGCTGTGAGGCAAGGGACCAAGAACTGGAGAGTACTTGCCCTAACCAAAAAGAGCTTTTCAGGGAGCATTTTATGTGAAGTCAGCAGGTAACTAATTTAAATTTTCTTAAAAACTGTTAAGGTTCAACAGTCAAGGATTCAGCCTGTGGGCTGCTGGTCTGCAAATTCCATTTTGAATGAACACTTGTCTCAACCCAAAGCAAAAGTAATTTCCAATATCTATTTTCTTAAATCAATAAAAGCTTAACCTATGCTGGCAAGGCTCCAGGTCCTTCTCTGGGTAGCATCCCTATTTGGCTTTTTCAGTTGCTTTTAGCCCAATGAGAGGTTTCTGTCTGATACTCTTGAGTTTTCCAAACAGGTCATTTCCTATTATTACTGAAGGATTCATGTTTTCATTAAAGGTCTTGAAAACGTTTGCTAGTTTTTAAGGGCATCTGGAAATCATCGAGGTAACTTTCTGAAACAGCCCGATCTAAGAAATACCAGGTGGCAGCTAGAAAAACAAAAACATGTTTGCCATGCTTTTCCAAGGAAGAAGAAATGCAAAATGGCAATGTTGGATAACTCTGGGCTCAAGAATAAAATGCAGGCAAAGGATTCTATCACAATTGCCAAACAGGAAGAACTCCCGGGATGGGTAAGCCATCTGCAAGTAACAGTGATGAACATAGGGTGGAATCGGTCAAAGAAAAGGAATAATGCAGAGTAGCTGAGAGAGAAAGAGACAGAAAACTTTTGACAATCCTCACCAAAAAGACGAGAAAAGTAAAACCCAAACTTTCCTTTCTTGCTGACCTCTGCTACACCAATCAAGCTTAAGCAGAACGGATAGGTCAGTTTGATTCAGGTGGTTCCACCAATACACATCCTCACCCCCAATCTTCTAGTGGCTTCTACTACCTGAAACTGCTTTCCCGAAGCAAAAACTGCAAATTCAACACGAAATATGGAAACTACTCCAGTTTCGTCTTCTAGAAATGGGTTATTCAAATGAGGTCTACCTTGGAAGAAACACGCTTCCAGCTACCTACCCACACGCTAGTCATTAGGAAAGGTCACTTTAAAGGACTCCCACGGTAGAAGGGCTTGCAAAGAGCCCTCCAAGAGTCGCAAGAAGGAAGTAGGCGCCTCTCCACACCTGGGGAAGGCTAAAGCTCCCGGGCAAACGTGCAGAACGTACTGCTCTTTCCGCGGCCGGCCTGCCCTGTGAAGGGGTCCCCTTCCCTCTCTCCCAAGAGCCCTTCCTCGCCACGTCGGGGGCTGCGGACGCTATGGCCAGGGGCACAGTCAAGCTGGGCGGGAGCTTTGGACGGCGCTCGGCCCGCGAGCAACTAGGCTGGTCCCTGGGGCCTGCGCGGGACGCCCGTTCCTCTCCGCGCGGCCAGGCCTCGGCCCCCGTCCCGCATGGCCGCGGCCCACCTCGCCGGACCCAGCTAACGCCCCTTTCCCTGAGCTCTGCGTTCTGCAGAAGCCGATTCGGCCTGGCTTCCACCCGGATTCCGGATCCTCCCGGACAGTAGCCCCGTGTGTCCGGCAGGGGACGGGGAGGGCGGGGGTCAGGGGTAGCCTGGAGGGCTAAGGCCGGGAGAGCGCTGCAGCCCCGGGAGGTCCCGCTGGGCTCCCCGACCGCTGGCCCACCTTCCCAGGGAGCAGTAACCCCTTGGAACTCACCTCTCTCGGGCGCTGCCGCCGCTGCTGCCCGGGCCAAGACGCCTCCTTCCCCAAGCGGCCATCTTGGAGACACTCCGCTCGCCAATGTCTCGCGCCAAGGCGGCCTCGGGAGAGCGGGCGGGCCTAAGGGAAATGTAGTCCGGCGCGCTGTCCCGGGCCGAGCGGCGGCCAGAAGCCGGGCCCCGCGGAACTACAGTGCCCACAATGCAGCGCGCCGGAGGCCCCGCCCCCTCGGGCTCGTCGGGTCCCGTAGTCCTCCAGCGGGGGCACGTGAGGCCCCCGGGAGCAGTCCTAGTTCCCGGCACCTTTTTAGAAATTAGAGTCCCCAAAGTTCGCAGCTTGGGAGTCACAGGCGCCCACCCTTCGGTAGGTCTCTGCGTTTCGAGAGCAAGTAGCTGAAGGAGAGTGGAAAGGAAAGTGCCTACAACTCCCAGAGCGCCGCGCGGAAGGCGGCCTCGGCCCGCCTGGCGGCGTCTCCCGCCGGTGCCCGCCGCGCTGTCTGCGAGCCTCTCCCAGCCCGCCGCCCGCTCTCATCCCGCCTGCCCTTCGCAACCGCCTCGGCCCACTAAGGTCATCGAGGCGCGGGAGGCGCCGCCGGGGCCCTCCTCGGAGGCAGGCGCTGCTCCCGGTCCATTCCCCCGAATTCTCTGGACTCCGAGGATACTTTGGAGACCGAGACAGACGCGATGCCTGCTGCCACGGAGGTCCCTGCTTGCAGGGTATTGGAAGAGAGAGTCTGAAAGCAAAGAAGAGAAATCGCTACAAAATATGATAATTTCAATGAAGGAAATAGGGTTCTGCAGTGGAGGAAAACCTGTTTTACATAGGTCCTCTAGACCACTGTTGAATCCGTTCCCTGTCACATGTCGTACTCCTGCCCTCGCTGCCGCCACAGGATCAAAATCTCATATGTTGGATGTTTGAAGGCAAATGCGATGCAAGTCAACCCACCTAAAGAGAACCTTGTCCCAGGACCTGTAGTGTCCGTGTCTGGACACTGCTGAAAGTGTCAAAGTCAAGATGGAGTAACCAGAACCCAGAGATTGATGCTGCTACCTCAGATCTATGGACTATTTGGAGGGATTCCTTATGGTTTGTGACCTTTTAAATCCCGTTCCTACTCCTACGGACAACGTTGTTAGACATATTAGTTGATTCTATAAATATTTAAGCAAAACGAATGTAGAAATCTTCAGATTCAAAGCCGAAGAAGGATGCCCAGCTTCCACGCTTTGAACTCCTGTCAAGTGGAACGCCCCAAACAGCAAGAGGCTGGCAGGTGGAACGTGACCTTCTTATCGTTGAGGATTCTTTCAGATTTCCTTCCAGCTCACATCCTACAATACTGTCTTTTTAGCTGCTTAAAATCTTCTCACACAGCCTGGGTAACTTTGGCAAGACCTCTTCTCTACAATTAAAAAAAAGAAAACAAACAAACAAACAAAAAACTAGCCAGGCGTGGTGGTGTGTGCCTGTGGTTCCAGCTACTTGGAAACCTGAGGTGGAAGGATCACCTGAACCCAGCAGGTGGAGGCTGCAGTAGCCTTGAGCGTGCCACTGCACTTCAGCTTGAATGACAGTGAGACTCACTCAAAACAAAACAAAATCCTCTTACAATCCCATATCGCCTACATTGTGCAATTCAAGCTTCTCTTGAAGCCCCTTCTTGCTTTGGAGGTTGACTACTTCTCCAGGTTCAACTGTTTCCCTTTCCTGTTGGAACTTACCTGGCTAGTAAATTCAGAGGGTTTGTAGGTACACACATTTCATGCTTTGCCTAAAATGCCTTTCCCTCCTGGCCACCTTTTATACTTCAAGATCTTGGACCTGTCTGTTCTCTAGTAAGTAGCTGGCCTTGTCATTGCACTCCCTGTGGATATTCCTGCCTTTTCTCTGGACCGGTGTGGAGGTCAAAGAGTATACTAGAGATTCTAGAACGCCTAGGTTTGAAGCATGATTCCACATGCCTGCATCAGGGCTGGTTGTATAACTTCTGTTTCTCAGCTTACTTGTGACGATATTAGTACCCCCCCCCCCAGATTGCTGTATTTTATGAGATGATATATGTATGGAACTTAGAAAAACTACACAAGTAACGATACAAACTGATTGTTAATGACAAGTGCTGTTCTATATTTTAAGTCATCTAAATCTTGATCTTCAAAACAATCCTATGAAAATGATACTATAATCAACATTTTGCAAATGAGGAAACAAGTTACAAAAGACCCAAGTGATTTGCCAAGGTCAGACTGCCAGTCAGGAATGGCTTTAGGAGTTGAATCCTGTGCCACTGTGCCACTGTGCCACTGTGCCTCTGAGGAAGAGCTCCAGAGACAGATCTAGTGCACAGAGTAAATGTAAATGCTCGGATAGCTGTAGTCCAAGGATGGTCTTCTCATCTCTCCAGCCCTTTCCCACTTTCCTTAACTTCTAAATGACCTCTGCTTCCAACCTACCAACTTGAGCTGCGATCCCCACAGTGTTATTTCTTCATCACTATTAGTGCACAGACATTGCCCAGAAGGTTCATATTCAGGTTGATTCACTTAGCATGTATAAACAGCACCTGTGGAGGGCACAGCCTGAATGGTAATAATTGTAAATCCTGAGGGCTCTCATGCAATGGAAACACCCAGCGAGCCCCTGAACTGCTGGCAGAAAGGCAGCCAGTGGGAACGGCATGCCCTAGCTAGTGCTCAGAAGTGCTGCCACTTCTCTCGCTACTCATTCATTCATTCTTTTAATACATAATTAGTATTATAGTCTGCCCAGGTGCCCTTTTGGGCATAGAGATATGGTATTTAGTAAGATAAACTCTATTCCTGGTCTTAGGGGCTTTACAATTCAGTGGGATAAACAACTAAGTAAATATTTTCAGAGAATAGTAATTACCAAGAAGAAAAGGAGCAGGGTTCTATAATGGAGTGTCTGGGAGACCACAAGTGGTAAGAGAAAGTCCCTTTCAAAAAGGTAACACTGGAATGGGACCCGATTGAAGAGAAAAAGTGCAGTGTGAAGGGCTGCAAACAAAATGTTCCGTGCAGAGAGAATAAATGCATGGCTCTGGCGTGAGAATGGACTTGGTGTGTTCCAGTAACAAGACCAAGGTGACTGGAGCATGGTGAGGAAGGAGTGGTACTTAGTTTGTCTTTGGTTAAGTCACTTTCTCTCTTTGAATTGCGGTTTCACAACTGTAAAATGGTGGTAATTTTATCTGTATTAGTCAATGTGTAATTAGGGGGAAAAAGCACTTATAGTACCTCAAACAGAAGGAATTTAATACAGGGTATTGTTTCCAAGGGTGTTGGGAGGGCATGAAAAGCAAGGGGGCAATAAAGACACCCAAAGTCTAGTAACATAGCTGCTATAACCCTTAAGGCTGGAGGAGCTTCAGTCTGGGCCACAGAGTGAGACTTCAACTCAAAAAAAAAAAAAAAAAAGGACTGGAGGAGCAAAAGGAAAAAGCATGTCAGAAACTGACTCCTGAGCTTTTGATCAGAAGCCTGGAGCTTCACTTGCTATAGGGCACTACTGGCACACAGCTGCCACCACCACTATGGTCTTAGGTGCCACCAGAAGCCACAGGCTGGGATGGCATTTTCTTCCTCCTGTCTTCCAAATAGGTGACAAGAGAGTCTGAGTAAGGTAATTTTCTGGCTTCCAGCCCTGACCATAGAGAATATAGAAAGGTAAGCATGGTGATAAAGACAAGAGATACCATTCATACACCACCTATCTTGCAGGGCTGTTTTGAGGAGTGGAAACGAATGTGTGCTCAATTAATTATGTGTATGCTTCATAGCACCTAGCAGCCATTCAGGGAAAGGCAAATCATCCAGAAACATCTTTGGTATAGTATTTCTATATAAAGGCTCGAACTTGAAAGGATCAGAATGAGCATTTTAAAAATGGAATTTTAATTCCAAATAGGTAACATATTCAAATGATATAAAATTCAAATTATATAATAATACGCAGTGAAAAAAAGGTTTTTGCTTGTTTGTTTTGAGTTGGATTCTCATTCCGTCACCCAGACTGGAGTGCAGTGACACCCTCACGGCCACTGCAACCTGCTGGGCTCAGGCAGTCCTTCTGCCTCAGCCTTCCAAGTAGCTGGAACTACAGGCATGTGCTGGCTAATTTTTTTATTTATTGTAGAGACGAGGTCTCGCCAGATTGCTCATGCTGGTCTCGAAACACTGATGAGTTCAGGCAATCCTTTCACCTCTGCCTCCCAAGGTGCTGGGATTACAGGCGTGAGCCACCATGTCTGGCCAAGGTGTTTTTTGTTTTTTTGCCCCTTCTTCCTGTGATCTAGCTCTTTCCATTCATGTCAGCAACCTCTGCAGGCTGTCACTGACACCTTTCTTACGTATCCTCCCTCTATAGCTATTCCATAAGTCAACAAGTGTATACATATATTAAAAACCTTTTTTTTCTTTAACCCAAAAGGTGCATACTATACACATTGCTGTGTCTTTTTTTTTTTTAACACTTAACTGTATCTTGGTGAGCACTCTGCATCAGTACATATCTCATTTATTTTAGCAGCATGTGGTATTCCATTGTTTGTGACATAATTTTATCAGTCTCCCAACAGTCTTACTATGTCAAAGAGTGTTGCAATAAACATGCTTGCGCCACTTCGTGCCATGTGCAAATATAACTGGGATAATTTCCTGAAGAGAACTTGTTGGGTCAAAGGGTGTAGGCACTTGTCATTTCGATAAATATTGCCAGACTGCTCTCCACTCCTGCCAGTAGTATATTTTCCACAGCTATACTAGCACCATCTATTAGCAAATGTTTTCTCTTTGCCAATCTGATAAGTTAAAAAATGGTATATTACTAAATGCCATGTGGTATCCTGGATTAGCTCCTGGGACTGATAAAGGACATTTATTGCAAAACAGGTGAGATCTGAATGAAGTCTTGAGTTCAGTTAATAGTAATGTGCCAATGTTGGTTTCTTGGTTTTGACACACCATGGCTAAGTGAGATGTTAACATCAGAGAAACAGGATGAGGGCCATACAGAACTATACTACTTTTGCAGCTTTTCTGTACATCTAAAATTATCCCCAAAAGTTTTTTTTTAAAGTGATATCTTGTATGTAAATTTTGCATTTTTCATTGTGAGGGAAATGGAACATCTTGAATATGATGCTCCTTTTAAAGGTGGCCTTATACTGTGTGTTTACTGAGGAGAAAAGTCAAAATGTATTCTCTTTTTAAAAATTCATTAGCAGTGCTTTATTTATTTATTTAATTATTTTTATTTTTTGAGTTGGAGTCTCTGTCGCCCAGACCGGAGTGCAGTGGCCGCTCCCGGCCACCGCAGCCTCGACCTGCTGGGCTCCGGCGATCCTTCCGCCTCAGCCTTCCGAGTAGCCGGAATTACAGGCACGCGCTACCACACCTGGCTGATTTTTTGATTTATTGTACAGGTGAGGTCTCACCTGCCCAAGTGGGTCACGAACCCGCGGGCTCAAGCAGTCCACTCACCTCA